AACTTTTGGGTAGTAATTTTCTTCGTGTTTTTTTACACATACATTGTACTTTAGGCATGAATTAACAGATCCTGTTATGTATCACTGCCAAACAACATCCCAATATGTGTTCAGCAACATCTCCTGAGTACAGTGATATCACCCATGCATAGGTTTGCTGGGTTGTTTGGGGGCTAAAAGGCCACAATCGAGACTTGTACATATCAGTTTTTCAACTTGATATATAGGTATGCTTGGCCTATCTTCAGTTTGGCATATTTTTGCATCCCCCCCGTTAATGTTAACATCATGAAAGTTTATATTTTTATAAAGTAGACATTCCAGGGTATTGTATATGAGGTGTTTTCACATCCTTCCCCCAACCATTGTGCTAAACAAATTTCAGAGAACGTGCATGGTGGTAATTTTTGAATTATGCTTTTTATGCACACGTCATCTGTGCAAAAAACAGTGCAAAGGGGTGTCTGTCCTTTTCCCTTTTTTATAACAGACCCGGCAACGTTTCTGGGGATTTCTTTTTTTTGGTGTTGGCGGTATCTTAAAAATAAAATGTCTAGACTTTTTGAATTATGCTTTTTATGCACACGTCATCTGGTTTTGGCCAGCCAGTTATATGTTACTACCATAAAACTTTTTTAACCAACTGTGCAGGTATCAAATGCACCTTTATCAGCATTCTCTAAACTAACTCCTGCAAAAATAATCTAACTGGAGATTTGGGGGGAAGGAAACTGACTAACTAAAATTTGCTGCTTTCAAAAGAAAAAAAACAGTGCAAAGGGGTGTCTGTCCTTTTCCCTTTTTTATAACAGACCCGGCAACGTTTCTGGGGATTTCTTTTTTTTGGTGTTGGCGGTATCTTAAAAATAAAATGTCTAGACTCCTCTTGCACCGTTGTTGGAAGTCAACCACATTCACATTAATGCCTGCGTTGGCACTAAAAGGGGGGATGTTGGGCTCAGCTGACTGTGGAGGTACCCAGTCCTCCTCCACATTCGGCGTAGCATGGGAAGCACAGCTTCTTTTAGCAGCTGGCTCACACACAGATGACATGTCACTAGACGTGCCGCTAAACTGACCTGGGTCAAAATTGGACGCAGTGTCAGTGGCGTCAGAGTCTGACGCCAAGAAGGCATATGCCTCCTCCAAGCTGTACATGCGCTGCATGTTTCACACTAACAGACTAAACTAAAGAAATACTAAACACAATAAAAATTATTTTTTACACTAAAACAGACTAAAACAGACTAAAACAGTAATCCCTAAACTAACTCCTGTTAGAAGAATCTAATGGAGATTTGGGGGAAGGAAACTGACAGACTACGACAGACTAAGACAGTCTAAGACACAGATTTTTTAAAATAAAGTTAACCCTTAAGGGAAAAATTAAATTTTTATTAACTGCTGATACTTTTTAATACTCTCTGGAGCACCTGCTGCAACAAACTATCACGATCTCTGTCTCTCTCCCCTCACAAAACGCTACAGAGGAGAGAGGGGCAGAGATCAGTGTCAAAGTGAGTGTTTGTAACACCCACTTTGATACCAGCCAATTGTGAGCGATCGCGGATCGCTCACATGCCGCATTTGGCTGTTACTATCTGCCTGGGATGCCGGGCAGATAGTAACAACGGGATTTCAGCAGGAGTGATCTCCGATCACTCCCGCCGCCCGTTTTCCATTAGGAAGGTTCAGGACCGTCCTGCGTCCTGAAGGGGTTAAAGTTACACTGTAGTCACCAGAACAACTACAGCTTAATGTAGTTGTTCTAATGAGTAAAATCATTCCATTCAGGCATTTTCATGCAAACACAGTGTTTACTTTTTATATTTCTTTAGAATCTGCTCATTTACTTTGTCTAGTGCGTATTTTGTGATTTGTTTTATGTAGCTCTGTCAATGAAAGCGTTAAGCATGTGTGATCTCTGCCAACTCAGCAAATACATTAAGCAATTAAGTTAATCTTGATTGTGCTTCTTTAGTTATGACTCAGCCAGTTTCATAAACCTATATTTAACCAAAGGCACAAATTAATATTGTTGTCTGCAGCAGGCAGAGGATGTTGCAGTTGGACGAATATGTGCATTGCCTTGATGTCTAGTGTAGTTTTACATTAAAGAAAAGTCTGCAATTAATTAATGGTCATAATTGATTTTTTTACCTTCCTGCCTCATCTGATCAAAAACTTACATAAAAAAAATACAGGTTCCAGGTTAAGCCATCTCGTGAGGCCTTCAAATTCCATTACTAGCAGAAACAGTATTTTATACTTAAAGGACCACTCTAGGCACCCAGACCACTTCAGCTTAATGAAGTGGTCTGGGTGCCAGGTCCAGCTAGGGTTAACCCATTTTTTCATAAACATAGCAGTTTCAGAGAAACTGCTATGTTTATGAATGGGTTAAGCCTTCCCCTATTTCCTCTAGTGGCTCTCTCATTGACAGCCACTAGAGGCGCTTGCGTGCTTCTCACTGTGATTTTCACAGTGAGAGCACGCCAGCGTCCATAGGAAAGCATTATGAATGCTTTCCTATGTGACCGGCTGAATGCGCGCGCAGCTCTTGCCGCGCGTGCGCATTCAGCCGACGGGGAGGAGAAGAGGAGGATCGGAGGAGGAGAGCTCTCCGCCCAGCGCTGGAAAAAGGTAAGTTTTAACTCCTTTCCCCCTTCCAGAGCCGGGCACCCTCAGGGCACTATAGTGCCAGGAAAACAAATATGTTTTCCTGGCACTATAGTGGTCCTTTAACCTAATTTAATGTCACACTTTATGCACCTTAATACCATCACTGGGTAACATGTTGCACCTACCGGAAATGCAATAGCTCCTCAAGCATATTAGAAGTGCCATATCAGGAAAGAGACATGTAGGGAGATATCCATTTAAAATGAGCTTAAGATGGGAGGGGGAAGCACAGGAGTGTGAAATTCAGTATTGATGTAGAAAAATAAAGGTAAAATGGACATGTTAGATGTGGATCAGCTAGCTTTACTATGTAGAGTAAAAGGGGCAGAGGGAACTGATGTAGAAAAATAAGATAATATTGCAAGTGACAGAGGGAGATATTGATACATAGGGTAGGAATTCCTGCATCAAAGTCCTTTTTTCAAAGGAGTTCTAAGGACCTGGGGCAAATTACATTCCAAGTGGTTTTGCTTATGGCCAATGGGTTGTAATTAACGTAGCTGCTGGATCCAAATTATCATCTTCTGCTGATGTGACACTCTTTCAGCCAGGTGGGAGGTGCTGCTGTCAGGATACTTAGAAGTAAGAAAATCCCAAAAAGCAAATAATGCTGGATATTGCATCTGTGTCATGTCAGATTTGAATAGACATGCTGACAGAAGAAATGCTGCACCAATGATCTTGTAATGAAGGAACTGTCTAGTGCACTAGTGGTTTGGACTGTTAATATGTGTTTCAGCGGATTGTCAAAAGTTGACCAGTTGTGAATAATGTGCAAAGTATTACTTTTTTGTGAGTAGTTTGCCTTGTGCTAATGATATCTACAACAATCCACATTACAAGTCTCATTAGAGGTGAAATCTGCCTGTTAGAACACTGATTCCATACCCCTTTTGTTTGCTTGGTTTGTTTTTTTGTTACATTTTTACAAAGTAAAGGAAGAACAGTAACAGAATTTTTGCATATCAGCCGTTAAAGGGACACAATAGTCACCAGAACAACTACAGCTGTTTGTATTTGTTCCAGTGCGTAGTATGAGGGGGAAAGGTGGTGCAGGAGATATGGGAAGTGAAGTCATTTCCTGTGCTCTCCTGTCCTGCGGCGTGCTGAGAGAGAGAAGATGAAGAGTTACCTGGCAGATACACCAGGTATGCTCTCCCCTGCACAACCCCACCTCTCCCTTCACAGACCCTTTTCCTCCCTACTTCTCTGAGTAGAACCATTCCCTTCAGGCTTTTTGCAGTAAACAATGTCTTTTTACAGAAAATGCTGTGTTTACATTAAAGCCAGTGGCGTAGCAAGGAAGGGGTGGGGAGGTGGGTCCCATCAGACTCCCATCAGCCACAGCCTTCCACCTGCAAAAAAAAGTCAGTATGTGTGTGTATGTATGCATGTCTGTCTGTGTGTATGTATTTCAATATGTATGTGCCTGTCTGTTTATATATGTTGTACAGCGCTACGGAATTTGTTGGCGCTATATAAATAATAAAATAATAATAATAATAATATGTATGTCAGTATGTGTGTGTGTGTGTATTTATGCCCTTATTCGTGTGTGTGCAGTGTGCATAGGAATTTGTTCATATTGTTTATTGTCCGGCCCCCAACAGTGTCTGAGGGACCGTGAACTGGCCCCCTGTTTAAAAAGTTTGAGGACCCCTGTCATTATGTATGTTTATATGTATGTATGTCATTATGAATGTATGTCTGTATGTATGCATGTATGTCAGTATGAATGTATGTCTGTGTGTTTGTGTGTATTGGTTGTCAGTATGTATGAATGTATGTATGTCTGTCAGAATGTCTGTATATATGCATGTATGCCATTATGAATGTATGTCTGTGTATGTATGTATGTGTGTAGGGATATCAGTGTCTGTATGTCTGTATGTATGAATGTATGTCTGTCAGTATGTATGTATATATGTAAGTATAAATGAATGTATGTCTGTGTGTATGTATGTCGGTGTTTGTATGTGTATGTCCTCATGCATGCATGTGTATCTGTATGTATGTTAGTATGTGTCTATCTGTCACTATGTATGCCTGTGTGTATATGTGTGTATGTCTCAGTATGTGTGTGTCAGTATGTATGCCTATATGCGTGTATTTCTGTTTCAGTTTGTGTGTCTGTTAGTATGTATCTGTGTGTGTGTGCATCTGTGTCCTTTTGTATCAGTGTGTGTTTTTGTGTCTGTGTGTGTGTATTCCCGTGGGCGGGATTTGGAGGCGGAACCTGTGGGCAGGATTGGAGGCAGGCCCCATGGGGCCCAGACCCTGAGCTGAATTTCTGGTGGCGGCCCTGCCACAGCCCCTGTGCCCCATCCTCACCACAGCCCCTGTCCACCCCCCTCCTGCCACAGCCCCTGTGCCCCATCCTCACCACAGCCCCTGTCCACCCCCTCTCCAGCTCCTGTCCCCTCTCTACAGCCCATGTGCCCCTGTCCACCCATCTCAGCCCCTGGGGGTAAGAAAGAGAAACACAAAGGGGCTGGGGAACGTAACAGATACACAAGGGGGGTTGTAAGATACACCCAAGAGGTTGTAAGACATAGTAAAGGGGGGGAAGGTAAATACACTAAAGAGGGTAAGAAATTCAAAAGGGGGGTTACAAGACACACAGGTGAAGATGCATTTTTTTAAAGGGGGGGTGGGTGTCAGGGAGTGTCAAAATGCATCTTCGTTTGAATAGCCAAAAATCCTTGCACAGCCCCTGTCTGTATGCAGACACTGAACTTTCCTCATAGAGATGCATTGATTAATCTCTATAAGCATGATGATGATTGGCCAGGGCTGTGTTTGACTTGTGCTGGCTCTGCCCCTGACCTGCCTCCTTGACAGTCTCAGCCAATCCTTTAGGGAAGCATTGTGTTTAGCTCAGGCCACCGCTTTTGATAATGTCAGCAGACGGAGGCAGTTCAGGGGCAGACAGCGGCAGAGCCAGCAGCTGCAGGTTTGAATACAATTAAGATTTTTTTATATTTTGGGAGGCAAGGGGGGGGGGTTGCTTTAAGGCACCTCTTTTTTTTAATCTTTTTGGAAAGCTATTTTTGACTGCACTGTAAATTCTTCAAAATTCCAAGGCCTCCAGAAGATATACACAAGACAAAGTAGGGACTAATGTGTGTCACATAGGACTCGATTTGGGGGGGAAATGGGGTAATAGGCACAGCTGCCACATCCTACCATTTATAAACAGAGTATGACTTTTCACATACAATGTGCAAGATATGCCTACAGTGGAAAATCTTCCATAGACCCCCTTTTTCTATACTCCACAGGATCAAGAGTATCCTTTGACATGGTGCCTGAAAGCCTTTTTCTCTAAATAAATGCGATTCTACTCAGTATTAAAATGTTGCACCTAATAAATTGGTAATTTAGTGTACAAATGGCGTATTAAAGCCATTTTTAGTCAAATATTGTTGGTGTTACCATATATTATTATTATCCAACCTTAATGCGTCAAAAGTTCATGCATGCCTGGCTAACTATTCATTGGAAAAATCTAACTTCTGGTACATTGCAGACTGTCTGCCAAATAAAGAATTTACACAGGCTCTGTCATTTACGACATAATATTCAATTATATACAAACCCAATTTACTTTTTTCATTAATAGTATCCTGTAATAGCGAATCATTCAACAATGCTCTGTAGGTTTACCTTCCCAAATCTAATTTGGTTTCTTAAACCTGCTCTGTTTTGATTTTTCAAAAGTTGGCAAATGTATCTCACTAGCCAGAACCCTGACATGAACACTAGTGATGAAAGATGAAGTGACAAATTCATAGTTTTTATGTTTTACATGGTATATCCCAACTAACTCTTCTAAAATGTGTTTTTGTAAAACATTAAGCAGATGCCTACTATTCTTCCATTCCTATACAAGTTCAGTTATTTGTGATGTAAATTCACAAAATCAGGGCAACTCAGAGGAACCAGAAACTCTAAGGCTGGGTACTTCTTCCCTCCAGGAGCCTACACTGACTTCAGTAGGAACTAAAAAAAACAAAACAAAAAAACTCAATGCAGAGCAACTAGTGATATATTTGCTTTTATTCCCCCAATTATCTCTCAGTGAGTAATTAGCTCTCGAACTTCATGATTCCAAGTTGCTTGAATGGGGGGATGTCTCAGACTGTGACTTTAAGGATCATATATGTTGACAAAATGCTGTATAGAAAGAATGTGAATAGTAAGTTGGTTTGAATAAATTATTCATTCTAATTTCACAGTGTGCTTGTAGAATAGAAATGATACAAATCAAACTGTAAGAAATGTGTAATATAACTCATATAGAGCACTAGGAGTCACAGTTTCAGTTTCTTGCAAAGTCTGACTTTCATCCTTAAAATGGTTATAAAATTAGTATATTTAAGTCTGGTAATTATAGCATTTAAACTCAAGATGTCTTTGAAAATTAGCAAATACTGCATGTACTCATGAAGCCAATCCTTGTTTTCACAGGTATGGCAAATATTGAATACTCTTCCACGTTACTGCGTAACTGATGGCTCATGATAATCCCACTTTATTTAAAGAGGGATTGATCATATGACTCTGATAATAAGGTTATCCGTGGTTTAGAACCCATGATGTGTGATGGTTTGATCCCAAATCTCTTCTTTTCTACAAGCTGCTTATTTCTAGAAATGTATTGCCTATAAAATAGCTTACTGATACTATCAAGGCTTTGGAGTAAGCGGTTATTTTTTTTTTTTTAAAGGAAAAGATAAAGAGCTATTTTTGTGCCCATGATATTCACATTCTAGTGGACACAGGTGGTCTCCCAAGATGGCATGATGTCAGAGTAGCACACAGGCAACCCAGAGAGAATAAGAAAGAAGTAGGCAATATGCTGAAGATTTAATCAGAAGCTTTAATTTTACAACAGATATGAGAAGTACATAGCTACCCAGCCAAAGAAATCAAGAACAGCACCAAATAAGTGAAGGCCAGGATCGAGGCTTTAGGCAACCAGACTTTAAAGTTACAGAAAGTAGTCTTTGCCTACAATGATGCAATTCACCACTTGAACATTTTCTCTTGCAGACTCATCAGATCAATTTTGTCTAGGTAAACCAATTTAAAATCGTAGCCTTCTAAAAGGGAAGACTACAATAATGCAGTCAATATCAGATCCATGACGCTCCCTCTTAACCCTGGACAACTCCCCACTGAAGGACATTATTCTTCTTCATTTTAATCTGTTTATTTCTCTTTAATCGGTTTGCAAATTATTGTGAAATGGGAAAGTCATGTGTCAGTGTTTGCTGATGTCGCAAAACTAGGTAATATAGACTGAATAGGATATAACTTCTCCAAAAAGGTATTTGGATAAATTGGGTAACTGGACAGACAAGTGGCAGATGAGATTTAAAACAGATACATGCAAAGTCATGCATTTTGGAATAAGGAGCCCACAAGCAACTTATACATTAACCCCTTAGTGACCAGACCATTTTTCAATTTTCTTACCGTTAAGCACCAGGGCTGTTTTTACATTTCTGCTGTGTTTGTGTTTAGCTGTAATTTTCCTCTTACTCATTTACTGTACCCACACATATTATATACTGTTTTTTTCACCATTAAATGGTCTTTCCAAAGATACCATTATTTTCATCATATCATATAATTTACTATAAAAAAATTATAAAATAAGAACAAAATAAAAAAACACACCTTTTCTAACTTTGACAACCTAAATATGTTACGCATCTAAAACCACCAAAAAACACACATGCTAAATAGTTTCTAAATTTTGTCCTGAGTTTATAAATACCCAATGTTAACGTGTTCTTAGCTTTTTTTTTTTTTTAAGTAAAAGTAGCACTTTGCTATTTCCATCCATTTTTTTGTTTCAAAATTTAACACTGATATCTGTCAGGAATCCCTGAATACCCCTTCACATGTATGTATTTTTTTAAAAGAAGACAATCTAAGGTATTAAACTTGGAGTATTTTGACTATTTTCATGCAACCATTTTATTACCAATCTATGCCAAATTAGAAAAACGAAAAAATAATTGGTGATTTTTTTTGACACACATAGCAATTTATGAAAACATGTACTGAGAACTTTAAGGGTTACTGCCAAAGAACACCCCAATATGGGTTCAGCAGCATCTCCTGAGTACAGTGATACCCCCCATGTATAGGTATGTCGGGTTCTGTGGGCGCTAAAAGACCTTATTTGGAGGCTGTGCATTCCAGTTTTCCAACTTGGAATTTTCACAGCTGGTCATCATGCCCCCATGTCTTATTTGGGACATTTTTGAAGCCGGCCAATGTAATTTACCCCCATCAAACCATATATTTTTTGTAAAGAAGACACCCTAGGGTATTTCAAATTGTGGTATTTTTTTTTTTTTATAAAGTACAATGGCAACACAGGGCAATACAGTGTGAACAAGTGTCCAGTAACAATGTTGAGTCATCAAAACGTACATCATGCGCCAGCGGACTGGCATACCATTTGTGCAGTATGTAATACCTGTCATAACTAGTTTGAATGTGTCTTATTGGGCTACATACAGCCAGGCCCTTGAATCGTCTGTCCCCTTAAGCCAGCTTGGTCACACTCAAAATAACAGTGTATCTCTGTACTAGTATGTAAATCCCTGTCCTTACATGATCGTAAATGCTACCGGGATTTCTGGAGTATTTCCCAGCTACAGGATGGGCTAGAAGAATGTAGGGAGAGTTAGATAAAGTATGAGAGAAAGAAGAAAAAGCGAGATAGGAGAAGGTGAACTACTGATGTAGGGTGTAACGGATCGCCTGGCACCCCGACTGGGTACCTCCGTTGAAGGATGCTCCTAGCGCTTCCTGAGGACTCCAAGCACTCTGGCAGACACCACAATCACCGAACCGGAGAAACAAATAAATTCTCCCAAGCATATGAATGCTGTAGACAGTTGAATAGGAAACCATACGAATAGGTTTACTCTCCTAGCAGTCAAACTGGAACAGCATACAATAAATCCTTCCCCCAATAATGAGACGACACTTCACTTTGAGGGTTAAAACAGGAACTCCCTGTACTGTCACATACAGTCTCTTTTATTCCCAATCCACAAACATAGTACAGCCCACAGGGCGTTACAAAACAACCAATCACCTCACAGTTACATCCCACATATTCCCTCCCCTTATCCTGAGAGGAAACTCAATTATACATACAGTTAAAACATACTTTCTACCCAACTTTCATAACTCTAAAACCATACATCACATTCACATAAATTACATATTCACAATCAATCCATTCAGGGGAACAACATATTAAAAAATGGCACAAATCAGACAAGGGGTTCAAAAGTTAGTAAAAAGTCCTTTGTGACTAAATGAAGCATGGCTTTCTGGCCCAAACCAGTTTCAGAGTCTTCTATCCTGGAGATAAGTAATTCAATTATCTCCCAGGACAGACACAAGACTCCATTAAGCACATGGTTGCAAAAAGACACAAAACACTTTAAAATACATAAAGTCACATTTACACATAACACACAGACATTTCACATATCCCCAGATAGCTGGGATCTGAGTGCACATTATTAGATGAATGGCACTCAGATCACACAAATAAGCCTTTCTGCAGGGGAAATAAACGGTTTAACCTGCAGGGCCATAGTCCAAAGGGAGCAGGCGAGCAACCAGGCTTCTCCAGTTCACAGTGGCGAGGTTGGTTTCGCCACACTTCTCCCCTTTACCAACTAGACTAACAGGGTATCTGACCTCCTGCCGGTCAGTGCCCTGGTTAGTCCAGCAACCCACCCACAAAACAGAAACAGCAGTACAGCCCACCCACAATAACTGGTTACTACACCTGGGTAGAGGAGAACTTTGTCCATGTCCAGGTGCCTCACCACGACTGTTTGGGCAACTGTTAGGCTGCCTTGGTGGGTTGCTGAGTGGGCAGAGACCAGCGGTACTCTGCCCTGATGCCAGTGCTACCACAGAAGTAGCCTGGTGGGAGCCTGGTTGTGGGAGGGAGAGACCGACTGTCTCCCCTCTGGATACACCGCTCTGTGGCTGGGGAACATGACCGACTGTCCCTACCCCTTGTGCTGTAAGTGCAGAGACTACAGTCCCATCTGCACTGTTGGGGGGTGTAACATCTCCCCTTGCTGGGTTAGGCTGCCGCTGGAGAGAGGGTGTAACAAGCTCCTCTCTCTGAACTGTAAACTGCCGCTGGGGAGAGGGGGTATCAGGCTCCTCTCCCTGACACTCTCTCTGCTGGTGGAGAGGGGGACCAGCTGTCTCCCCTTTCATTATTTTGTCCTGTGGTTGGGGTGCGAGACTGACGGTCTCTGCTCCCTGCAGGACACTCTGCCGCTGGGGAGGAAGGACGGCACCTTCAGCTCCCTGGGGTACACACTGCCGCTGGGGAGGAAGGACTGCACCTTCAGCTCCCTGGGGTACACACTGCCGCTGGGGAGGAAGGACTGCACCTTCAGCTCCCTGGGGTACACACTGCCGCTGGGGAGGAAGGACTGCACCTTCAGCTCCCTGGGATACACACTGCCGCTGGGGAGAGGGGATAACAAGCTCCTCTCCCTGACACTCTCTATGCTGTTGGAGGGGGAGACCGACTGTCTCCCCTTTCAATAATTTGTCCTGTTGCTGGGGAGAGGTGATAACCGGTTCCTCTCCCTGGAACACTCTCTGCTGTTGGAGAGGGGGACCAACTGTCTCCCCTTTTAATATATTGCCCTGCTGCTGGGGAGCGAGACCGACTGTCTCCGCTTCCTGCAGGACACACTGCCGCTGGGGAGGAAGTACAGCACCTTCAGCTCCCTGGGATACATACTGCCGCTGGGGATCTGGGCTGACTGCCCAGCATCCCTGTAGGGCCTGTAGAGAGACCTCGGTCCCATCCCCACCTGCCAGCTGGGTGTCTTCCCAGGACAAGTCAATAAGGTCTTCCATCTCTGGGGCTGGTTGGGACATATGTGGTACAGTACCAAAGTCTCCTGATAACAGGCTTGGTTGCTGGGGAGGAGGAACTAAACTCAATGCTTCCGGTGGTATACAGTCAATAAGCCCCATCATGTCAAAGACAGGCGGCGTTATACGTTGGAATAGGCAAACATAATCCTGTTCTAGTTCCCACTCTCGGTTGGCAAGAAAAGATAGATCTGGCTGAATGGCATCGATCTCTGTAAGGTCCCAGTTGTCTGCCCGCTCAGCTCGGATGGACCAGAAGCGAGCAATGTCGGTGTCTCCGAACCAGAGACTAGTTTCAATAGTATCCCACAACAAACCAGGGCCGTCGTAGTCTTCCCCCTCAATACACTTGTACTCAATCAGCCATGGGTAGAGGTGGTAAACATGCCACCGCAGGGCCCGATAGGAATCATCCAGCCACACCTCAGTCTCAACTAGCGTCTCCAGTTCGCTTACCCATTCCTCTGAGGGCTGGTTTCCCAATAACGGCATCCGCAGCTCTAGTTGTTCTGCTTGGCGCTGGTTAGTGGTCAGGATTTCCTCGCACCGGAAGGGTCGAATTTCGTCGATGTCCTCCTTCCAGAGATCGGTACGAAGCGCCACCCTCCACTCTGTCTCTCTTTCCTCTGGGATAGGATACTCCATACTGCGCATCACATCCTGTAGTCGCTGCTGGAGCCTGGCGTCAAAGTGAGATACTGCACGGCCTTCCATCTCTGAAGTAGTGCTGGTTTTCCCAAATCTTTATGTAGACAGGGACGCTGTATGAACACTAGCGTCACCTTCAATTTGTAAATCCACGAACTGTGTCTCTGAGCTGCTTTACCTCGCACTAGGACGCCATCCCACCGCTTGCCACCAATGTAACGGATCGCCTGGCACCCCGACTGGGTACCTCCGTTGAAAGATGCTCCTAGCGCTTCCTGAGGACTCCAAGCACTGCAGCAGACACCACAATCACCGAACCAGAGAAGCGTATACCTTCTCTCAAGCATATGAATGCTGCAGACAGTTGAATAGGAACCATACGAATAGGTTTACTCTCCTAGCAGTCAAACTGGAACAGCATACAATAAATCCTTCCCCCAATAATGAGACGACACTTCACTTTGAGGGTTAAAACAGGAACTCCCTGTACTGTCACATACAGTCTCTTTTATTCCCAATCCACAAACATAGTACAGCCCACAGGGCGTTACAAAACAACCAATCACATCACAGTTACATCCCACATATTCCCTCCCCTTATCCTGAGAGGAAACTCAATTATACATACAGTTAAAACATACTTTCTACCCAACTTTCATAACTCCAAAACCATACATCACATTCACATAAAATTACATATTCACAATCAATCCATTCAGGGGAACAACATATTCAAAAATGGCACAAATCAGACAAGGGGTTCAAAAGTTAGTAAAAAGTCCTTTGTGACTAAATGAAGCATGGCTTTCTGGCCCAAACCAGTTTCAGAGTCTTCTATCCTGGAGAGTAATTCAATTATCTCCCAGGATAGACACAAGACTCCATTAAGCACATGGTTGCAAAAGACACAAAACACTTTAAAATACATAAAGTCACATTTACACATAACACACAGACATTTCACATATCCCCAGATAGCTGGGATCTGAGTGCACATTATTAGATGAATGGCACTCAGATCACACAAATAAGCCTTTCTGCAGGGGAAATAAACGGTTTAACCTGCAGGGCCATAGTCCAAAGGGAGCAGGCGAGCAACCAGGCTTCTCCAGTTCACAGTGGCGAGGTTGGTTTCGCCACATAGGGTATGTAGGTGGAGGTGGTGATCAGTGGTGTTATTTTCGGACTGTACAGGTTTGTAACAGGTAAACAGGAAGGGGAGGGAGAGAGAACTATAATCTGCCCCTGATTGCATCTCATTATAGGTCAGCTGTTGGCGGGTTTGCATTAATGGAGTCCTCTTGGCACCCCATCCATTCTTCCCATCTTTCCCACTCAGCTATTTTTACGTTAAACCTGTTAGAACTCATATGAGCCATCTTTTCGTATCTCCCATTGATGGATACTTGTTGCACCACTTCTCTCCTGCTGGGAGCTGTGGAGGACTTCCATCCTCTTGCTATCATTTAGCTTGTTACTACCAGTATATAAGATTAATATTGTTAATATTTAATATTGTTGCCCGTGAGGTCATTTGGGAACATAAACAGGAGAATGTTTTCGACGGATGTACTAGTTGTTTTTTTATATGACCTCTGAGATCAGGGTTGCCATCTTTTTCCAGAAGGGTTTGATCACTGCGCACTCCCACCAAATATGCAGCATGGAACCTTTCTCTGTGGCACATCTCCAGCATCTGTCAGATGCAGTTGGGAATATGTGGGCCAAGTGTGCCGGTACTAGGTACCATCTGGTTGCTATCTTTCGTATTAGTTTGACATGGGAAATGCACCTAGTATATGGTTGATGTATCTCAAAGGCTCTCGACCAGTTGGCAACAGAGATCTCGTGTTCCAGGTCCCTCTCCCACTCCTCGAGTATTTGGGTACAGGATGACTCGTATCCCATATAACTGTGTCGTAACAGACTGAGATAACCTTTTTTTTGGTATGGTGCCTATGCACATTTTCTCTATGATAGACAGATCTGTCATCATGGACAGGGCAGGGGATCGTGTCTGTTTGACCTTTCTTTAATAGGGATTGTAATTGTAGATATATCAAATATCCCGTGTGGGGCAAGTCATGTGTTGACCGGAGGTTGGCCTAGAGTATTAGTTCGTTTCCGCTCCACATTTGGTGGAGGAATGTCAGTATATAATATATAAAAAATGTAAAGGATTAGCGCCACTCTAAAAAGACACTGGTGAGAATATTATAACCAACATAAGATGCCTTATGGTCCTACTCAAGTTTTTAGAGCTTTAAACCAGCTCTAGTATGAAAGGCGTACAGTGGTACAATCCCCACTTATAGGATACGTGAAGAATGGTTTCAATGATGTATGGACCAAAAAATAAAAAGAAACAACAATAGTGCTCACTGTATACAATCAACCAGAAGAATAAATAAGAGTATATTACTCACATTTGCCAGAGCAGACAAACTGCTTTATTGATAGGGCGTGAGTGGAATAATTCCCACCTAAGGATTTCTTGAGTAGTTCTTGCTGGGAGTAAAATCAGGATACCAGGCAATAAAATAATAAAAGAATAATAACGGAGTAAAAAGAGTAACATGGCACACTCAATGTGAAAGTAGCCAAAATACCTTTATTAACACAGTAGTAAAACAAATTAAGGGAAGGGGGGAGGGGGGATCCTTCTTCAAGTGTACATAGTATTAGCCTGGCACATGTGGGTTTATATAGGGTCCAAACAATCAGCAAATTGAAAATGGTGTCTTATTTGACCTTTGACCCTAAATGAGGTCACATGACATGTTTCAAAGGTCAAAGGACATATTAACAGGAAGTAGATAAACTAAAAATTATAAAAACAATGTTACATAGTTGACTCAGCAAACATAAATTTGAGATGGAAAAACAGCTCAGTGGGCTTATGCACCACCAGCAGATTATGCCCAATCCCTGGGGGCTGCAAGTTCAAATTCCCCAATCCCTCCAAGACAAACAAAAAGCAATCCAATTTTTCTAATGGTTTCAATGGTCAGGTGGGCAGACTCAATATGCTACTGGAATAAGGATAGGCATTGTGGGTGGGGATATACATACACATGAAATATACACACTTAAAACTGTAGACCATTAGAGGATAAACAGAATCTTAAAATAAATATAAAATCAAATTATATATAAGACTATAGATAAATAAAGCAATAAAACTGAGAAAGTATGTACAGTTAATTATAGCCGTTTTTATATAAAAATGGATATGACTGAGAGTTAAACTTAAAATGTATATATATAGGAATAAACCATATAAAGGGGGGTAAAAAAAAAAAATTTGAATAGGATAAATTCTTAAAAAGTTTAAAAGGTCAAAATCTACATTCAGGCCTTTTCCTCCAGAAAGTACTTATCATCTTTTATTGGCTCTCTATCTTGGACATATATTCAATAATTTATATTTTATATTTTTTATTATTTTATTTATCTTATTTTATATTTATTTGCATTTTAGGTCTCTTATTCTGTCCCATTTTTTAAGTGTAGACCTACTTAAGGCATCTTATGTTGGTTACAATATTCTCACCAGTGTTTTTAGAGTGGCGATAGTCCTCTACATTTTTTATATTTTGTACTAAAGTTATAATGTAGTTTGAGGCAATGTATCATAGCATGGTCCAGATTAATTGGCATGGCCTGTGTTTTGGTGGTGTTTAGCTTGTAGTATAAGAATTTTCTGTATTCCCTTCGGGTGTCTGTGAGTGCGGGTAGGGACGCTACTGGTGGAGTTATGGTGAACAGACATAGTCTGCGAAAAGACTGAGTTTGTGTTCTATCTGTCCAATGTAGACTCCTGATATCGCCGTGTTTGATCTTATTAGAGTCACTAAGGGTTCGAGTGCGAGGACATATAGGAGGGGGCAAAGTGGGCAGCCTTGTCGTGTTCCGTTTGTTATAGCAAAGGATTCAGACAGAAAGCCTCCATATAGCACTTTGGCGGTAGGCATATTGTAGAGCGCCTGAACCGCTGAGAGGAAGGGTTCGAGAAAATTATATTTCCTTAATACAGCCTCTTGGAAATTCCAGTTCAAGCGCTCAAATGCCTTTTACGCGTCTAGGGAAAGCATGAGCCCTTTTGTCCCCTGTTTCTTTGTTAAGTACATAATATCCGGTACTCTCCTCGTGTTGTACGTCCCTTGTCTACCCATCACAAATCCTGACTAATCAGAGTGTCTTAATGTTTTGAGGGCCTCAGACATCATATTGGCTATAATCTTAGCAAACTGTTTGGTGTCCAAGTTTAGCAAGGATATGGGTCGAATGTTTTTGCATTGTGTTGGGGGTTTACCGTGTTTGGGGAGGGTGATCACTGTAGTGGCGATCAGGTCTTGGGGCAGCTTGGAATTTTGGGTTGTATTGTTAAATAATTGGAGCAGATGAGGGGCAAGGGTTTTTTTTGTTGTTTTTTTTGTAATAAATGTTTGATATGCCGGAGGCTTCAGATAGCTGTCTCGACTACTTCTGTTGTGATTGGTTCCGACAATTGCTCACTTTGAGTGCGGGAGAGTGTAGGCGTTTGTATGCACTCTAGATATGTAAAAAAAATTAGACAACATAGTGTATCTAAACATTTTTTGGAAGCCCATGGTGGGAATGCTAGTGGAATAGAATTTGTAGGAATAGAAGGGGTTAAAACACATTGGAGAGGAGGAGACATTGAAAGCCTCCTTAGCAAATGTGAGATGAGGTGGATTTTTAATATGGATACTTTGATACCTCACGGCTTGAATGCCGACTTTGAAATAAATTCTTGTATATAATACATTTTTATGCACACTTATTAATCATAATGTGTTTTCCTTTTTATCCCATATCCTTATTTTATTTTTTATTTTTTTTATTTATTTTTTTTACCCTTCTGTCTATTTTTGTTGGGTTTATTTATTGTACTAGTGCCAAGCGTGCTAGACGGACAATTATGATGAATACGGAAATGAAAACCGGAAGACGGTAGGAATGGCGCCAACATACAGGTTTAAAAGAAGAACCAGCGGAGAAGAGCAGAATCACCACTTCTGAAGAAGGCTGAAACACGTCAGGTGGCGATATTTTGGTGGACTTTTTCTGCTTTTATTATAATTTGTATTTTATGTTTAATAAATTATACTTTTAACGTGATCCTGCATCCTGGGTCCTTTGAAGATACTACATTTGATATAAGAGGAAGTATCCTGGTTTCAGCAGATATCCACCATTACAGCTGCTTTTCTCCGCTTTATAGTCTGAGTCAGCTTTCAAAGTGACTCAGCTACCTGTGAGTTTGACCAATAATATGGTGTTTTAATATTAGTTTTTACTATATTACCCTATGGTCTTTTATCTCATTTTTAGGAATATACCCTATGAATTATTAGTAAATTTTATGATTATTGAGTGCTCTCACCATTTTATATATTTCACTCTAGATATGTTGTTGATTCGTGCACTGTAGCGTGGTGTTGATTTTTGTCATTTTGTATATTATCCAGTTTACCATAGAAGGTAGCAAATTAATTACCTATAGCTGCAGGGGCAATGATTTTTGCGCCGCTGTCTGGATCTAGCTTGGATATCTGGATCTAGCTTGGATATCTTTTAGTGCTAAAGCAATTTCCTCCCTGCTCTGTTTCCTTGTGTGTATTGGGATAGTTTTCGTCTTTTTAATAGGAAACTAGTACGTTGCATATGTGCTTCTTGGATCTTCTTTTGGATCTACAGTATTTCCTGTCTGAGGCTCTTAGTGGGGTTATTTCCTATCTGAGGCTCTTAGTTGGGTTATACTTTTTTGTAGCTTCTCTTCCCATTCCTTCAATTTATTAAGTGATGCCTTTTTGACGTGATACGCCCGTTTAATGAATATTCCCCTCACAAGTGCTTTATGACCTAGCCAAACTGATGACACCTCCGGTGTGATATAAGTAGTGAGATATCTCTGTCGACACTTTTTGAGAGTATTGGGAGTTTTGGAGAAGTGATTTGTTCAGTCGCCATGGGGGCTTGTTTTTAAAGGAAAATTTGTCCGATAGTGTGAGTGTAACTGGGGCATGGTCTGACCATTCGATGTTCCCTGTCTCACAGTCTGAGACTTGCTCATAGTACCATAGTATCATAGTATCGTAGTACCTATCTTTCCTTGTATAACAATTATGTACTGAGGAGTACCTGTCTGTCAGGTTATGCAACCTCCAAACATCATAGGGGTTATATAAGCCAAAAAGTAAGGTCAATTGTCTCACCAATTTCGTCAGTGTTTTTACTCTGGTGGGCGCTTTCTCTGAAGTGGAGTCTGCTAAGAGACCTTGAACGCAATTGAAGTCTCCCCCCAGGATAAGTAGTCCCTGTTGTATTTTTATCAATTTTAGAGAGAACGATGGTTAAAATGTTTTTCTGGTTGTCGTTAGGGGCATAAACATTTGCTATTGTGTAGGTGACCACGTTAATCACCGCTACTATGATTAAGAACCTTCCCTTTGGGTCTGCTCTTTTCTTAAAGAGAACAACAGTTGGTTACTAAATAGAGTTGACACTCCTTTGGATTTTGTATCAGAGGTAGCATAGAATTGGTAAGGGAATAGTTTAATCCCGTATCGGCAAGCGTCTGTTTTCCGTTAGTGTGTTTCTTGCACACACACAATGTCCTCTTTCAGCTGTCTAATCTGTCTGTAGAGAGCATGCCATTTTGATGGGGCGTTCAGCTCTTTTACATTATGTGATACTATATGCATAAAGGTTTTTCAAAGGTTTGCTGTTCGAACTGTCTTTTTTCCTTAGTCTACCTACCACTCCCCCATCCGTCCACCAGCTAGGATAAATGAGAAGTGAGAAGAAAGAGAAAGTTTAGAGTAAAGAGTAAGTGTGGATCTGAAAGAATCATTCGTATACATCCTGCGGCTGAACCTCCTGGTTTTAGCCCGTTTCACACACTGGCGAACTTTTTTGGGATTCAACTGTACTGGGTGCGACACCCAGCTCTCTTGGGGTGTTAGACACAAGCGGCCATGTCTCTCCCCGTACAGGTGGATCTATATGGCTTTTCTGGGCAGGGCAGTGAGGTATGGGGGTAGGGGAGGGAGCAAATATTATGCTTTCCTCTCTTCTCAACAAATTCAGCAATGCTGTGGAGACAGAGAGGTATACAAATAGTGCAGATAACTCTAAATTACAATGCAAAAATGACATATGCAAGGAAACACTCACAAAATTAGAGCCAATATTAAACCTGGCTCTGGTGTGGATGGCCTTAGGATCTTTCAAGGGTGATCCAAATCCCTCTGTGGATGGTCTGGATGTCCGGTCTGTAGTGTGGAAAATTTCTCCCAATAATAAACTGCAGGGGATCCAGATAGGTATAAAGTAAAAAATATATATTTATTGGATACAGATAAAATAAAAAATGAAATAAGTAAAATGCTGCCAAAACGCGTTTCACCTAACGTAGCTTCCTCAGTTGGCTGAATTCTTGTTTGTAAGTCCATACAGGTCTTTAAATGCTGTGTATAATCCAAATTCACGTTTTTTTTTCAAGTGGAACGCACCTTGCGTTCCATTCCTCCGTCACCGTTTCACTTCCTGGTTCCGGTCACATGGAGCCTCAGTATTACTGGAATGCATAACACTTCCTGGTTTTGATCTCCGGCGTGAATGGAACGCATTGTGCGTTCCATTAGAGTGACGTCACACCTCCAATTTCCTCATCTGTGCACTCTGCATGTGTGGAACGCACTCTGCGTTCCACCAAATTTGGAATCCTTTGTCCTTTATCAGTCTCTTAATTTATATATTAAAAACAGTCTATATAAACACTATACTCCTATAAATTGTCCAACAAAATAATACATATTCTTGACATGAAGTATACATTGATATTAGCTGATATAATTAGAGAGATAAATAAAAGATAAATTAATTATTTCAATAAAACCATCATTTTACATCTTAAAATAACACTATAGCTACATAATATAGTTCTTTATATATAATTACAAAGTCCTTTTATCGTTGAATGCCAATTTTTAAAGTGACAGTGCGAATTTAATTTAGATATTGCTAAGTTGTGTGTAATTTAGTAGTGAATCAATTTCTATAGTTTTAGGTGGACTCTCGATATCATCCCACTTCACACAAAATTCTAAAAGTGAGGTAGTAAACCCAGACAGATATTATTAAGTGACACGTTGCCTAATTCAATATTCTTATTAAATAGTGTAACAGCACCACTTTATAAATGCAGAGAGGGAGGGGAGGGGATTTGGGAGAATATGTAAATAAATGGAAAAAAAAATAACAAGGGGTTAAAAAAGACTATAAAAATATAAAAATTGCTATAAAAAAAATGACACAACTCAAAATCTTGACCATGACCATGTGGAGTCAATGTTCTAAAATTGTAAATACATTTCATCTCCTCTCCTCTATTCTCTTATTAAAATCTCCCTCCTCCAATCTTTCTGTACCAATTTAATTGCGCAAAAGAACATATTTTTTGGGTCATTTTTGTGATACATTTTAAAATGGTTTGAAACACTATGTGTTTCTAGACCCTTTTTAATATTTCTTATATGTTCCGCGATTCTTATATGTAGGCATCTGGTGGTTCTACCCACATATATAAGATCGCAGGGGCATTTCAGGATATAAATTATATTTTTAGAAAAACATGTTAACTGGTTTTTAATACTGAATACTTTATCTTTTTGGTAGTAGAAAGAGGTAATATGTATTTTTTTCTGGTTCGTTTCTCTGCAAGCTAAGCAGGATCCGCAACCAAAAAGACCTTTGTTCATATTTAAAAAAAGTTCTGTTTGTTTAGTTTTAAAATGACTTTTTACTACTATCTGTTTTATATTTTTACATCCTCTGTACACTAGCATTGGCTCGGGGGGTTAGATCTGTTTCAAAATAGGATCTTCTTGTAGAATTGGCCAATATTTTTTGATAATTTTTCTTACTTTAGTATTATTTACACTGTGATTACATATAAAAGGAATCTTAATTGTACTCTCATTCACAGGTTGTTTTTTCTTCTTTGATACATTTCCCTTGTATCTAATAAGTTATTTTCTTCTAATCTTTCTAACATCTTCCATACATGCCGATAGTTCTGTTGCACTGTAGCCTTTTTCTATGAATTGTTGCTTTATTTTCTCTGCTTGTAATATATAATCCCTATCCTGTGTACAGTTTCTTTTTATTCTTAGAAATTGGCTTTTTGGAGCATTGGCCAACCAGGGGGTATAGTGACAGCTATTCTTATCGATATAGCTGTTGGCAAAAAAATAAAAATTTCTAAATCTAAAAAATTAATCTGATTATTGCTATATGTCGATGTTAAAATAATACCCCACTCGTTGTTGTTTTAAAAATTTAAAAAGCCATTTAGATGTTCCTCACCATCCTACCATATAAAAAAAATGTTATCAATGTAACGGCAATAGGACACCAAGCTCGCAGCATGTGTATTTGGTAATATAACGTTTTCTTCCCAATACGCCATAAATAGGTTCGCGTAATTGGTGCGAACTTGGTGCCCATTGCCGAACCCGTAGTTTATAAGAAAAAAGAATCTGTAAACCAAAAATAATTATTTGTTCAAATTAGTAAAATGCCTTCCACAATAAAATCTATTTGTATGTCTTTAAAACCTGATTTTCCTAAAAAGGATTTCACTGCCTCTAATCCCAAGTGATGGGGTATAATACTATACAGGGAA